ATTAACCTTAGTAGTGATCTCTGGAGGCGACATCTGGGAGAAGGGGCGAGAGTCAGGGACGGATTTTCGAATAATTAAGAAGCCCGGTTTGAATTCATTGAGAACACGGTTAGCGGGAGGGGGACGAGCTGTGTTAATTGGAAGATTAACAGGATTATTTTTCTTCATGACCGAAGACCATGCACTGGAAGATTTAGGAGCGGAGTTAACTACAGAGTTAAGCGACTTCTCAAACGAGTCAAGTCTTGCTGTAATTTTCTCAACAAGAGAAAGAGTTTGAACGCTGGCGATCATCTCAACCTCAAGCAGGGGAAACAAGGTATTTGCCTTGTCAGAAGGGATGAAAATACTCCCATCGGAGTTACGATTTGCAAAAACCTCAGCGATCGCTTTAAGAAAGCCATTTGCTGGGTTATGACGAGATTGGGTAAGGGAGGGGTTATGAGAGAAGTCCGCTTGAGTGGGGGTTTGGACTTGAGAACGATCAAGAGTGGAGCCAGAAGACTCCAAGCCATCCATCTCGATGTTTTTGGACCAACCACCCCGGTTGGTCCGAGAGCTCATATGGTCATCGGGAGGCATAGCCTGAGCTATGCGACTCGAATAAGGTCGAAACCTTGAATTTTTTGAAGATTCGGGAAACTCAATCTTTAAACGATTCGGAAAGGGGAGGGGAAGATGGGGAAGGAGGATATAAGAAGGTGGATAAACAGGGAGATGATGTGGAGTTTAAACTTTTAGTGGTTTTTTTTATTTGGGATATGGAATGTGGATGAGGGAAAAGGTGGTCGGTTTTTTGTGGTTGATGATGAGTTTTTTAAGTTATGGTGTTGGGCTGCTGTGCAGCAGTTTAAGCTGCTGGTTTTTGCCACACAGCTTTGGTTTGATTCACCTTGCTGTGATCAAGCAGACACCAGCTCGCCGACCACCACCACCACCAATACCGATCCCCCCCAATTATCCAGGCATCGATCCCAGACAAAAATGATAAACGATTTTTCAATCGTACAAGGCATCTACCAAGGCTTGAGCGATCTTTATGGCACTTGAAGGACTCGAGTTTCTGGCCATGCAAAAGTTAGTTTTTTTTTCATCTATCAGCGGTCGTTTTGTCATAACAAAAGAGCTCATGTGTTCTCATGGTCCGATTAAACTCGGCTTTGCAGCATTAACAACAGTACAGGCCTTTCAAGTCTCCAATCAGACTGATCACCCAAACCTGACAATCAGACAAACAACCACGGATGTTATAATGGTCGTTTTGGGCTCAAACACTTAGAGACATTGTGAGCAATGCTGATCATCTTCATCTACTTATGGGTTTTTTCTTCATTACCTGACTACCAGTTTGTCCACAATGACATTGACATCACGTATCACTTCTTGGTTGCTTACTCAGTTGACTGGATTGATTTATTTGGATCACATATCCCCTCAGTAGTCATCACAAGCATATCAAATGAACAAGCGGAAACAATCGGTGTTGATCTTTTACTCAAAATGCCTGTTCTTCTGCAACTTTTTTTTTTGATTTGTGTGTTGTTACTCATCTTATCCTTGAATGAAGTTTAAAGAACAATGGTTACTAGGAAAGCGGCCTACGTATTCTTCTCTATGAAACCTAGTAATGAAAATGATTTTGCATCAAATTCAAGTTAATCGTTGCAAGTCAAATGACTGTTGCTCCTGAAGCTCTAGCCAAAGATGACAGTGATCTGAAGGAGATGAGGACTGCTTCAGTGAAGTTATTTGAACATTTGACCGAAAGATCCTAGTGAACCAAGTCTCAACTTTTGAGTGGTAGATGTGCATCAATTCGGATGGGGTTACTCAAACAACTCATTCTTACTCAATTCTTGAGATTGGTCTCTGTTAACATGGCTTGCATTTCACTAAAGACAACTCGGAGATTGCTTGTACACATCTCACCAAGTTGATGTTGAACATTTGATTTGATTTCTGTTAATCTTCAAGATCAACAATGCTATACACAACTGTGGTAACAACGATGAGAGGAAAAGGTTAAGATCTATGTTATGGGCCTCGGCAATTCATATGATAGGAAACACACCCAGATCAAAAGCATTTGACTGGTTGATAAGTGGAAATGGAAGACCCATGCCTGTATGCAGAGAGGACAAGGCAAAATGGAGAAGAACCGACATCGGTCCTGAGTAGTTTCTAGTTTGTAAAATACCGACCGGGATCTTGGGCATGGTTTACTCCTTCCAAGAAGGTTGTATCCAAGCTGCGCCATCGAGACGATCGTCGAACCACCAACGCTCTGATTGTTGTTTTTGATGGTTTTGGGAGGTGGTTTGGAGGCAGCTTCACCCAGATTGTGAATCAATAGTGATGGAGGCCGATGTGGCAGCCTATGACGACATCATGGCTTTGAGAGGGAAAAGAATAAAATAAAAATCCAAACTTAAATTGATGAAAATCCAGGATTTTCGAGTGCAGATCCTGCAAATCCGTCCAAGCATTCTTCAAAACACAATACAGCATGCATTAAGTGCTACAGTTGCGGATGGCAAAAACCGACCATGCCCCGCCCGCAAAATCAAATATTGACACGTGGGGTCTATGCCCGGGGGGGGCATGTACCCTGATACTTATTTTTATTACAATTTTGAACTAAGGTTGCGACCCGGCCGTTTCGGATCCAGGAATCAATTGACCACACCTCTCTTCACAGAGATGGATGGTAATCGGATAGCAGACTCTTGTAATCGGCTATCCAATCCAATTGACAGCGTCTCTTTGGTTGTCCTTGATCTCGTCGGAACCCGGTATCCGACCGGGTATCTGCCGCGCAAATCAGGGGCCGGGTCGCAACCCTATTTTGAACTCCTACAGATGTGTAGAGTTCAAAATTGTAACCACTAAGCTTCTACTGCAGTGGTTCTTTTTTTATTTGTGTGACATACATGTATCCGGACATGCATACCAAAAGCCATACTTAAACCCATAGTTATGGGTTCAAGTTAGGCTTATTCATGGTCTTATACCTCCCTTCAAGTGCCTGTAGCATTGACTTGGAGTGTTTATTCAACACTCTGAGCCAGTTTTATATTAATCTTTGGCCCCAAAAGAGCTGGAAAACCATGTAAATACAAAAAAAATCTAATTTTTCAGCTAAACTATTTGGTCATCCTCCAAATCCAGGGTCGGTTTTTGCCGTCCGCAACTGTAATTGATTTCACATTGCGCACTAAGAGAAATACATTTTATAAGAATACATGTGATGACATTTTTGAGCTTTGTGTAAGAGAAAACTATTAGGGATTTTGTAATTATAACAGTTTTTTATTCTTCTGAATTGAAGGTGAATCCTTACCATAAACGTTTTAGTGGTAAATCTTCACCAGTGAGCCTTGAGGAGCAAAAAACTAAAAAATAAGGGCCTTAATAAAAAAACCCGCATTTTCCGCGTTTTGACGCGCTTTTGCTGCGGCACAGCACACGCGCATTCCGCTTTTAAACCCGCATTTTTAATTAATTTTTCTTTGCCATTAATTTCAAGTTTTTTTGATTTTTTAAAATTTTTTCCTACACTTTGAAGGGTGTAGAATTTAATGGTAAAGTCCATATACCATAAAAATGACTTTGATTTTTTTTTTTCTGCTTACTCATTTTTTCAATTAATTGTTTGCATGCATGTATGTACCTTATTTTTTATGCTTTTTTGAAATTTTAAAATTATTTCCTAGGTTTCAATGTGTGTAGAATTTAATGGTGCAATCCAATTTTTTTAAAACTCAACGGTTCATTTTTAATACTGAAATTAGACCCATTTTTTCACTTAATTTTTTACAGCTTAATTCTCATCATTTTTTGACATTTTAAATTTATTTCCCACACTTTAAGACATGTAGAAAATGATGATAACAACCATTTTTCCCCAAAATGAAAACTATACCTTGAATGCCGCATTTGACACATTTTTTTTAATTAATTCATCACTTTTTCACTTAATTGTTTGCATACATGTGTGTACCTTATTTTCTATGCTTTTTTGAAATTTTAAAGTTGTTTCATACATTTAAAAGTGTGTAGAATTTAATGGTAACATCCAATTTTCTTAAAACTCAACAGTTCATTTTTAATACTGAAACTAGACACTTTTTTCAATTAATTCTTTACATGTTATTTCTCAATATTTTTTGACATTTTAAGTTTATTTCCCACACTTTAATACATGATAAAAATGATGGTAAAAACCATTTTACATAAAAATCAGCGCTTGTTACTGAATACTGCAGTGGACAGGCTTTTTTTAATGTTTTTTTGATTGATTTTTACCGGCCTGATTTTAAGCATTTTTTTTTATTTTAAATTTATTTCCTACATTTACAAATGTTTAAATTAATGGAAAAAATGAGTAGAAAAAAAAATTAATAATTAAAACTCATTTTTATGGAAAATGGTTTTCACCATTAAATTCTAAGAGCATCCACCCTCGTGTCTGTAAACCCGCTCGGTAAGCCGGTTTTACAGACTCGGTATGCATAATCACACCCTCATGCCCCCTTTAGGGCTCTTTAACAAACTAGTCTGTAGGATATTCGGTCCAGCTCGCTAGATTTACCAACGACTACAGAGGCTCTTTAAAGGTCATTTTACCGAGCCTACAGACTGTTGATACAGACCGCAAGTCACCCTCAAAGCACATCAGAAGCTCTAATGGCCACCCCATCCACCCCAGTAGAAGAAACCACCGATGCCTCTCAGCCTCAAACAAAGCAAAAAAGAGGACCAAACTGACTTCCACGAGAGGAAGAACAGTTGGCCATCTCTTGGATCAACATCAGTGAACAACCCGAATTCGCCACAAACCAGTCGGGCGAGACCTTCTATCGAAAGATCGAAAAAGACTTTAACACTCACTCCAAGGCCAACTATCGCAATCATGCTCAAATAAAGACCAGGTAAGCATATTGATTGATCCCAGGCTTCAACTTGTCACTAATTCCACCCCATCTACCAGATGGACAGCTATGAACACAGCTACCCTTAAATTCTCGGCCATCTATAATGCGATCGAACGTAACCCACCCAGCGGATCTAGTCCCAATGATTGGCTTGAAGCAGCCAAGATGAACTACCTGGACCAGACCAAAGGGACGGCTTTCAGCAACCTACCAGCGTGGCAAAAGCTCCAATATGCCCCCAAATGGCGAGCGGACCCCCGAGTTGATCAGCCAGCTACCCCATTGCCAACCACGTTGTCAGACTCGATCGATCCGGAATCTGCTCATGATGAGAACCCTGGGATGTCTAGCCCAACGGTCTGTTCAGCTTCATCGATTTCTTGTCCAATCGGTGGGAAGGCTGCCAAAAAACGCCGAATCGAGGGCTATCAACACGAGGAATTGCTCTCACAAACAAGCGATCTTGCTGTCATCTCGCAAGAACGATTGACAGCCTTTCACAAGGGTAACGAAATCCTCATCGATAAGAATAATATTATGAAAGAGAAAATTGAGATTGAGCGCAAAAAACTTCAACTTGAACAAGAGAAGCTGGCTGTTGAAAAGGAATATTGTCAGAGCAAAACCGACATGAACGACTTCAAGATCCTCCGCGATGCCGAGGACCTTGGTGACGAGGAAGCAAAGGATGTGATTAAGATCATCAAGGATCAAATCAAGAACAAGTGGCGCGCACGAGCGGGCTTATAGTCTCCCATATTCCCACTTTATCACCCCATGACTCTGTTTTACTCTTTATCCATCACATCTTGTCGGTTTGGCTCTTCCCTTGCCCCTTGTCACAAGGCCCAAAGCTCTTCCTCACTTGAATATCTTTCTTGCTCTCCTCACTTGAATATCTTTCTTGCTCTTGTACTTCAGACTAGATGTGTTTTTTGATGAGTCACAATCAGGTAACATGAAATTCATTACTATGAATCATAGTAGTATGATTGATGAGATTGTGAAAAAAGTAACACAGATAGCATTTCTTTTGAGAGGAACTAGACATGAGACCGAGAGAAAACAATAAAATAATGAGAGTCTCATGAATAACAAGAGACCAAGAGCAAACAATAAAACAATGAAAAAGCAATATGTTATACCCTTTCGTCCCCTCAGAGGAGCCAGTTATATATCTTGATGTCCTCGCGCAACTGTGCATGGGTCTCAGGGTTGTGCAGGTCAAAGTTGTTTTGAAGGTAGTTAGCCCAGGTATGCGCCAAGGTTGGGTCACGATGATTTGGGATGATATCGGCCGAAGGGAGAGGCAGAAAAGGATCGGCTGGTGATCGTTCTCCAACTATCATGTTGTGTAGAATGATGCAACACATCATCATTTCCATCACATCGGTCTTCTCCCATAGTCGACAGCCACGGGTTAAGCAATGCCAACGCGCTTGTAGGACCCCAAACGTTCGCTCGATGTCTTTCCGGGCCGATTCCTGAAGCTTAGCAAAGTGTCTAGAGGCCCCATCCTGAGGGTGCTTGATCAAAGCAACTAAAGTTGCCCAAGGTGGGTAGATTGAGTCGCATAGATAGTAACCCTTGTCGTATTGGCGCCCGTTGATGGTAAAATTGATCGAGTCCGAAGCCCCAGCGAGTAAAGAGTCAAACAGGTGACTCCGATGAAGGACGTTGATGTCATTGAGGGCGCCTGGGGTACCAAAAAAAGCATGCCAGATTCGGAGGTTCTTGCTTGCAACAGCTTCTAAGACCATGGTAGGTTTTTTCTCCTTTCCTTTGTACTGGCCTGCGAAACCCGATGGGCAATTCTTCCAAGCCCAATGCATGCCGTCGATGCTCCCAATACACCCTGGAAATCCTCGATCTTCGTTCTCGCTGAGGATTGCTAGGAGTTCTTCACGGTTTGGAGGTCGGAGGTATTCAGGGCCGTAGATTGCAATGACATGTTTACAAAAAAGCTTGAGTGTTCGGATTGCGGTCGTTTCGCCAATTCGCACATATTCATCCACGGAGTCGGCACTAGACCCATAGGCCAATTGTCGGAGTGCTGCTGTCACCTTTTGATGGGTTGACAGGCCTATTGTGCCACAACAGTCCTAGAAGATATTGATGGAGATTTTCGGGATGAGTGACGATCCAAGAATATATCAAAAGGGCCATGATATTTACTCACAGCTTTGAGAACCCAGAATCGATCGTGTCGCTGAAGATCATCGCATAACCGATTGAATAAGTTCTTGCTCATCCGGAAGCGAAGCTCGAATATTCGATTGTGATATACTGGGCGGTCGACAAAGTAATCCGCCATCAAACGTTCGTTGCCTGCAATGCGATTTCAAAGGATGATTTCTCGTGGGCCGGTTTGAATCATCCTGGGGATCGGCTGTGCTACTGCCGCAAGGAGGCGGCGAATCAAATTCTCTTCTTCGAGATCCCAGATGAGATGTTCCAAGTGGATGGTGTCGGGATCCATTATGTGAGGTGTCGAGTTGCCGAGTTGTGTCAGATGGACACGAGGGTAGGATAGGGCTCGGTATCTAAATCTGAGTTCCCTACCGAGCCGATGCCGAGCAACGAGGGGGGGTTTTCTGATTAGGTAAGCAACCGAGCCGCGCGGGACTCGCTGGCTACCTAAATATTTACCGGAACGAGGGTGGATGCTCTAAGCGCTTTGAAACCTAGGAAACAATTTTAAGAATTCAAAAAAACTCGAAAAATAAGCCGTAAAAAATTAATTAAAAAACCGCGTCTAAATGTGGAAACCGCGTGTGCTGCGCGCAGCCAAAACCGCGTTTTTTTATTAATGCCCAAAAAAAAATTAATAATTAAAACTCATTTTTATGGAAAATGGTTTTCACCGTTAAATTCTACGCGCTTTGAAACCTAGGAAACAATTTTAAAAATTCAAAAAAACTCAAAAAATAAGCCGTAAAAAATTAATTAAAAAACCGCGTCTAAATGCGGAAACCGCGTGTGCTGCGCGCAGCCAAAACCGCGTCAAAACGTGGAAAAACCGCGTTTTTTTATGGGCCTTAATAAAAAAACCCGCATTTTCCGCGTTTAGACGCGCTTTTGCTGCGGCACAGCACACGCGCATTCCGCTTTTAAACCCGCATTTTTAATTAATTTTTTTTTGCCATTAATTTCGAGTTTTTTTGATTTTTTAAAATTTTTTCCTACACTTTGAAGGGTGTAGAATTTAATGGTAAAGTCCATTTACCATAAAAATGACTTTGATTTTTTTTTTTTTTCTGCTTACTCATTTTTTCAATTAATTGTTAGCGGCTTGTTTTTCATTATTTTTTGACATTGTAAAGGTGTTTCCTACACTTTGAAAGGTGTTGAATTCAATGGTAATATTTATTTTTCATAAAAATGATTTTTATGCATTGTAATTTCTGTTCCCACTCTTTTTTTCAATTAATTGTTAGCGGCTTCTTTTTCATTATTTTTTGACATTGTAAATTTGTTTCCTACACTTTGAAAGGTGTAGAATTCAATGGTAAAATTTATTTTGCATAAAAATGAATTTTATGCATTGGAATTTCCATTCCCACTCATTTTTCCTATTAATTGTTACCCGCTTGTTTTTAATTCTTTGTTGACTTTGTAAATTTGTTTCCTACACTTTGAAAGGTGTAGAATTGAATGGTAACATTTATTTTGCTTCAAAAGGAGTTCTTTGCCTTTTAAGTTTGGCTCCCACTCATTTTATTGATGCAAGCACGGTGGAAAGTTCCCAGTGGTTATTCAACCTTCCGAACTTGAATTTCTCAATGGAAAAAAAGACACAAAATTCTATAATATTCTAATGAGGCCAAATTTGAATTTGCAAAAGAGTGTGGGAATAAACAAGCGTAGTTTGGATTTTAAAAGGGAGACAAGCAGGAAATCAGAGGAAGGTACGGAGAACAGTAATTCAAAAATTAATCAACATCAACAGGAGCCTTTTTGAAGAGCGTATATCTTCTGACAGGTGGGTACAAGACTTCTTGACCCAGTTCAATGTGGGCTTGAATATAATCCTCCCAACCCAGCGCTTCATCCCTGACATAGTGTCTCCAAAAAGGATCAATCCTGGGGCAAGGCCATATTTCAGCCTTGAAAGTGAAACTAATGAAATGAGAGAGGTCTGGTAAGAGGATCAGACAGATGGGAGGGTTGTTTCTCTGGGTATGCGAAAGAGGAAGATAAGTCGCAGGCATCTTTTCCGATAATAGAATAACTGGTCTTTGGTACGTATCGGCAATTAAATAACCATGCACTGGGAACGTCATCCAGTACTTGAGGGGGGCTTGCTGTGCCTTGTCTCTCCATGCAAGAGATTCGATGACGTCTTTTCGGTCGTCCCCTGCTCCCCATACATTCTCCAAGAACTTCTCGTCCGAATAGGCCTCGTTCGACTCGAATTCCTTCTGCATTTCCTTGCGGATTGAGTCCCATTCATCAGACTCACGTCCCAAGCTGACCGCAACCGCTCGGAAGCCACAGTTCCCATTGCCTCTGACGTCATGAACGTGTAAGATATGTGCAATTGCTCCAGCCGGCTTGATGCTGTCTTTGTGCTTATACTAACCAAAGTTTAAGAGGGAAACAGAGGGGATGAACAATGTGAAAAAGAAGTAAGTAGATGAGTTACTCAGAAGGTCAATCTCCACATTCTCGTATGTACTCCAAGTCAGTGCCTCACTCAAAGGGGTTTCGTCAGCTTCATCCACTTCAGTTATAGGTTCGGGAGGCTGCTTGACCGCTTTGATTGGCCTAATTCGCAAGGGCTTCTTGACGGTTGAGGGAATCGGTTCTTCTTCCGAATGCTCCTCTTCGGTGAATATGTTTTCACATAGGGCTCCAATTTCATCTGAATCTTCATCCTCACTCTCTCCATCTGTTTCCATGGCCTACGCAAAAATTAATCAGAATCAGGAAAGATCTTTTGAAGGATATAAGCAATGCACACCTCTGACTCATCCGTGTCATCCTTTTTTGCCGCTTTCTTCCTTGGTCGCCCAGGTTTGCGCTTGGGCCCCTCGTCCAATTTGGCCACCTTCTTTGGCCTGCCTTGTTTCTTCTTCTGCCCCTCGACGTACTCAAATCCTGATGGGTCCCTCTTGGTTGATGATGTCGATTTGTGTTTCCGTTTGGAGCCTTTGGGTCGGCCCTTGAATCGATGGTTCTTGTCAAACTTGGGTTCCCCGAGTGGAATGGTTGTATGTGTCAGCGGTGGGCCGCTATGCTACGCTACGCTTTTGGCCCAAAAAGCGTAGCGTAGCGGCGCTTTTTTTTCATCCGAAAACCGTAGTGTTAGCGGTTTTTCGCTACGCTACGCTGCGCTACAGCGCTTTTAGCGGAAAAAGCGGCCAAAAACCGCTAAAAACGGCTGTAGCGCAGCGTAGTGGGCCCTTTTTTGCGGCCCACACGCGTAGCGTTAGCGGTGTCGTGGCGGAATTCCGCTACGCTACGCTAATTGCTAACAGCGATTCCGCTGCATTACGCTACACTAACCGCTACGGTTAGTGTAGCGGCCCACCGTTGTATGTGTTCCGTCAAGCAGTTTGTGAATTTCGCCTAGCATGAAGTGTTGTTCGCCAGGTTGAAGGGATTGGAATTTTTCAAAGGCCTCGCTGAGGAACGCGTCTTCATGGCTCTTCTGCTGTGTCTCCGTGCCATCTTGGTTGTCACTAAGTTGCACCTGTCAAATGATCAGATGTGTGAACAAAATAAATCAGAATACATCTGCAAAATTT